ATAAAATATTTACAAAAATGTGAGGGGTGTACTGTGAGATACTGTATATATATATCAATTGGAAGACTTTTGTATCCACATTGACTTAATTTGCATTAAAAGTATACATTTTAAATGCACAAATGAATGCATAAATAAATAAATACATACCTCACTAGAATTCAGAATACTCTGACTTCGTCTATCAATTTCCAAATAATAAGAGAAAATAATGAATATCGAATCATCAAGTAATGTAACTCTTCTGAACAATCTCCCAAAACCTACACAATAAAACTGGAATTTGTCTTTATGTGTATGTGAGAAACATCAATTTCTGCACTCAGGTTGACAGAGCATCTGTCTTATTTTGTGTTCCAAAATCCCAAATCAGTTTACGAAGCCCAAACTCAGCACTGCTCCCTCTGATGACATCCAGGTCGAGGAGCGCTGCTGTTTCTGGATGACCTGAACTCTCCTTTCCCATCCAAACAAAGCAGGGGTGCTTATTGCCTCACACTGCTGAGAAAATCTGCTGAATATGCTGAAAAAGTCACAATGGTTTATGAAATCTCACCCTCCGGTGTTGTGAAACATCTAGTGCTTAACTGACCCTATTATATCATTACTGAGGTGCTCTGAGTGGATTAGACCATTGCTATGCTGTTGCTTGGTGCTCTGAGTGGCTTAAGAGTGTTGCTATGCCATTGCTGGTTTGCTCTGAGCTAAAGTGAAGTAACAGCACACCTTTCTTTAGATACCAGCAAAAGCTCAATACAAAAGGTTCAAAGTTTGTTTAAATCTCTAACACGAACTAGGAGCAACAGTAATGATGTAATTGCCTTGCCTACTTTCTTTTGCTGTATATCTGATAGCACATGTTTTCTTTTCATAAAGAGTTTGGCTCAAATTGTCTGGCGAGGGAAGCCGGCAGTCCGCTGGACAGCAGATTGAGGCACACCTTTCTTTAGATACCAGCAAAAGCTCAATACAAAAGGTTCAAAGTTTGTTTAAATCTCTAACACGAACTAGGAGCAACAGTAATGATGTAATTGCCTTGCCTACTTTCTTTGCTGTATATCTGATAGCACATGTTTTCTTTTCATAAAGAGTTTGGCTCAAATTGTCTGGCGAGGGAAGCCGGCAGTCCGCTGGAGAGCAGATTGAGGAAGACAGGTTCAGTGACCCAGAGGTGCTCCTCAGAGGTTTGCTCTTACATGCCTTCAGGCCTCAATGTGTCTGTTACTCTAAATAGTAATCTGAGCTGCAATCTAAACACTTAAAACACACAGAGGTGCATCATGGGTGGTTTCTGCACTCCCGGTGGCCCTCGCTTGACCACCTCTTCTCTAAAACTTTTGACACAAGATCATCCAGCTGTCGTGAGGGCGGAGATCAGTGATAAGACGGGTTCTTAACTGCAGGTTTGGTTTAGGTAAAATAGAAGGTCTGAAATGAGCAGATACAGGAAAGAAATGTGGGCTTTGCGTCATGAGTTTAAAATATATGCTTTAAATCACTGAAGGCGATATGTCTCAAACACACACACACGCACACGCACACACGCACGCACATATATACATATATATAGCTCAAATGAAATAATAGGGGTTTGTTACAGGAAGTGCACATTGCCATGTGTTCTGTAGGCGTTGGGTTAAATTTGGATGGAAGCAGCGGTTGCTTGTGATCTTACCATGACATTCGGTGAGGTGGTGACGGCACTTCCATCCTCCAGGTAGTGTGTTTCTGTGTAGTGACTAGCAAACAGCCCTCTGTAACACAGATACAAATACACACAAAACTTAGTTACTTTCACTTGTTTCTTTAATTTCCTACTCCAGTCATTTTACTTAGTCAACATTAAATAAAAATATATTTAGTGTTAGTGATTTGAACAAACCTTTAACCCTTTGTATTAAACTTTAGCTTGTACCTAGTCCTGAATGATTTGTTAAATCTTCTGTCTTGTTAAGGAAAGATGTGTTGCTGCTTCACTAAGCTATCAACTAGTTAGCTAAGCTAGCAACAGTCTAAAAACACTCAGAGCACCCTAGCAATGGCATAGCAACAATCTAAAGCCACTCATATCACCCTAGCAACTGCACAGTAACAGTCTAAAGCCACTCATATCACCCTAGCAACAGCATAGCAACAATCTAAACACTCAGAGCACCCTGACAACAGCATAGCAGGCATAGCAACAGTCTCAGAGCAGCCTAGCAATGGCATAGCAACAGTCTAAAGCCACTCAGAGCAGCCTAGCAATGGCATAGCAACAGTCTAAAACCCACTCATAACACCCTAGCAATGGCATAGCAACAGTCTAAAACCCACTCATAACACCCTAGCAATGGCATAGCAACAGTCTAAAACCCACTCATAACACCCTAGCAATGGCATAGCAACAGTCTAAAACCCACTCATAACACCCTAGCAATGGCATAGCAACAGTCTAAAACCCACTCATAACACCCTAGCAATGGCATAGCAACAGTCTAAAACCCACTCATAACACCCTAGCAATGGCATAGCAACAGTCTAAAACCCACTCATAACACCCTAGCAATGGCATAGCAACAGTCTAAAACCCACTCATAACACCCTAGCAATGGCATAGCAACAGTCTAAACACTCAGAGCACCTAGCAACAGCTTAAGGTCACACAGATCACCCTAGCAACTGCACAGCAACAGTCTAAAATCACTCATATCACCCTAGCAACAGCATAGCAACAATCTAAACACTCAGAGCACCCTGACAACAGCATAGCAGCAGTCTAAAGCCACTCAGAGCAGCCTAGCAATGGCATAGCAACAGTCTAAAACCCACTCATAACACCCTAGCAATGGCATAGCAACAGTCTAAACACTCAGAGCACCTAGCAACAGCTTAAGGTCACACAGATCACCCTAGCAACTGCACAGCAACAGTCTAAAATCACTCAGAGCACCCTAGCAACAGCATAGCAACAATCTATATCCACTCAGATCACCCTAGCAACTGCACAGTAACAGTCTAAAGCCACTCAGAGCACCCTAGCAACAGCATAGCAACAATCTAAAGCCACTCAAAACACTCCAGCAAAATCATAGCAACAGCGTAAAGCCACTGTATCTTAATGTGCAAAAACTCTTTTCACTAAAAAGTCATTTTTCACTGAAAACTATTTTCAGCTGACACAAAATGAAGTCCTGCCAACTTTCACTCAGATATTAAGACAGCACGATCAGCTGCAAATGATCACGGATCAAAGACAGGCGGCAGAGATCCCTCAGCCTGTGAAAGGATGCCCGAATTCTCTCTCTTCCTCTCTCTCCCTGCTGAGATAATATTCTGATCAGACCATTACCAACATCTGCACTCGATCGCTCCTCACACAGCTGTGCTTTCTTAAGCAGAACCTGAACATGACAAACTCATGACTAGGATTACAGCACTGCTGAATCAGAGAATAACAACCTCCTGTAAAAACACACACACAAACACAAACACAAACAGGCTTCTGACAGTAGAAAGTCTGGGTCACTTCACTCTGACTATCCACTTCATCAAGAAACGACCGTCTCATTGACATGTTTAGGGTGGGTTTATCTGAAATTGATGGTATTACACTAATTACAATAAAAATCTGTTCAGTTTGTGGTCGGCATGTAATTTATGTGGTGGAATAAAGTGTGAAATTCATTCTTCTTACTGCATACTGCACATTAGTTTTCAACTTCCATGAGAAACCTGTCGATCTCTTCTCACCAAACTTCACCCTTTTTCACTTGAACCTGTACTCTCTTAAATCGAATTAGATGATCTTAAAGCCCACAGTGGGGCTTCATGTGGAAAAATCAATGAGACCCTGCAGTGAATTTACAACAGAATCTGAAGGTTTCCAAGAAACTAAGAACAAACACTTGAAACTAAAAAGAGCTTTTCAGATCTAAAGAAACTCTCATAGAGGTACGTAGAGACCATCTGATCTATACTGCACACTCAAAGAACCAGAATATGACTGTGATTTAATTGATTTATAAAAGATTAGACAGATTAGACGGTCTTATAATTGAATGTAAAAGCCTAATGCATTATTCTGACAGCAAGAAAATTAACTTCTGATTAATGTTTATTATAAAAACCGATATATTCTGTCCTGGTTCCCATCCCGAATGCTGATTGGTCACTAGAAATCTTTTGTAACATTATAAATGTCACTGTCATTTTTGATCAATTTAATGCATCCCTGCTGAATAAAAGTATTAATTACTTTCAAAAAACAGATTCAGATAACAATTATGAACTTCAGTTTAAGGAATAAATCAAATAATCTTCCTCAAAGTTTACTACTGTTATACTTAAAGTATACTTAAAAGTATATCGGGTATATACTTTTATACTAGAAAGTGGGTCAATTTAGTCCCAAGGAGTATTGAAATAGTACACTTACAAGTATACTACTAGTACACTGATATTTGTATACTTACTACATAAAGTACACTTAAAAATATACTTGAACTTTACTTAAGTATACTTACTAAAATAAACTTGAAGTATACTACTTTTTGGTAAGGGTACTCATACATAATAAAATAGCGTTTGTGTTTCACAGTATGCATTCACTGTTTTTTAAGCAATAATAGGATGTGAATATAGGATTTTTAAAGGAGTTGCAGAAACTCCATGACTCATTCATTCTGGAGCCCGACCTCTCGCCCCTTTTCGCTTATTTATAATGGACGGCTGTTTAATTGGTCCCACCTCACACTGTTTCACTATGTTTCACATAGTAAATGGGATTAACAACACATGTAACTGCAAAACACCATTTGGCAGGGGTTTGTAGTACCTAAAAACCCAGGAAGGGACCAGATGTCTTAAAATCTGCTGCTTGATCACAGACGTATACTGACTAGGGATGCACGATATATCGGCCACCATATCGGTATCGGCCGATAAATGCTCATTTTTTCTGTTATCGGTATCGGC